TAAATCATTACGTCGGGGTAGCATTTGCTTGGCATTTCCGGTTATTTCTCCACTGGTTAACATGGGTTAACAATACCGTGTAACGGTCACGTTTGAAGGGACGAAATCGTGACATCTTCACGTCTCCCAGCATGGTAAATCGTCACATGTTCACGTCTTGCCGTGATACCGGGTTGTCCTAAACACACCATTACTCACTAAGACTCATTTTAATCTTGAATGGCTTTCCCAGCCAGTTATTTCTTAAAAATGTACTGTGAATCGTTCAGCTATTTTTGCCTGGATGTACGTCTATCTCAAAGCTGCTCAGCTTTATATCCTCTCTTCTTTGCAAACACAGCCAATGGAACAGGTAAGTCACAATGAATTAATTTTCATTTGCTGGAAGTGGAAGTGATTTGCTTGATGAGTATAGCGGATGGATGGATGGATGGATGGTTGCAGGCCCCATGTGTCTACCCAGCTCTCTGTTATGGTCTTAATCATGATTAGACTGGTGCCTATGACTTGTTCAGGGGAATGAGGAATCAATGCCAAGCTGGAGCAGACCATTATTGGCCTTTTTGTTTGCAGGGGTTTCCTCCCAGCTCCCAGAGCAGGTCTCCAGGAGAGATGGGAGGGAGGAGTTAGGCATATCCATCCTACAATTAGCTAAATGCTGAGCATCACTGAGGCCAGACAGGAGGGAACTATCTATTTACTCCTTTGTGATATTTATGTCTTCAGAGATATAGTGCGTGTGAATACAGGAGGCTGTTATTCCCAGGTCAGGACTGAGATAGCCGTCAACACTTCTAACCTCAAATTATTAACTCCAGCTGTCTTCTCACAGTTGCATTGAACTGTTATTGCGTATATTGCATATTTAGAAATGAGTAATGGGAGCTAAAATCATATCAGTACTACAGTTATTGTATAGATCTATGAGTTTTCATTAGCAAAAGAGCCATTCCCTGATTAGCAACTGTGTGTGTAAATCAGCTGCTCTCGCTGCAGCGCCGGCCCATTGGCGGGGGATTCATGGGCATAAATGACAAGCCTGAGCTGTTTGCTGCTGCTCACTCCTGCAGACTGCTGAGAGTCCAACAGGGAGGATGTGAGGTTCAGGGCCCCCCAGGGACTCTTGTCCCACTCTTGGTTGGTTAGGAGTGCAGCCTTGTGTGCCTTTCAGCCTGCAGGTGCTGGGCTAATCCACCTTATTAAAACAGACTTGATGATTGAGACAGAGGCATTATTCATAACTTTTAGATTTCCATACCAGGCATGATTCCAGGCTTTTTCATTTACGAGCTTTCATCTGTAGAAATGAGGAATGCGTGCCAATTTTTAAATTAAATCTTTCCTCTTTTTTCCTACATGTAAATGGTTCAGGATATTTTTTTTTTTGTCTTTCACGGTAAATTTAACTTTCACTCAGCTCAGGTAGGTGAGGTGAGCTTTAGCAGTCTTGTGTGTGGATCTAGCATCATATCTAGCCTTATGTGGGCTGCAGAGCACACATTTACATCTATTCAGAATTCACAATCAATGCCACGGTTTATGTGCTGTTTGTTTTACTGCTATTATATTTGAGTTGAGGTATTGGTGTTAACATAAAAGCCAATTTCCAGAGTGTGAGGGCAGAATGAGGCGGGTCACGTGATGAAGGATGTGTGAATGTGATGAAAAGTGTGTCGCCCAGGCTTGGAGATGAAGAGCTGCCGTGGGATGCTGAGCGGCCTAAAGCTGAAGTGACAGCCTTTCAGCCAGTGATCTGGAGCCGCATCAAAGGCTTGGACCTCGTTTCTGGAGCAGCACCCACCAGAAAGCAGTTTTGTATTTGGGTCAGGTGGTGAAAATAAAGAGTCGGAGTGTTTGTGGCCAGAAGAGAGAAGGCGATAAGGTGGGAGAGATTCACTAAGTTGTGTTGAAGGCTGAAGAAAGATTTCACCTGTTTCTCCCGCTGGTGTCCACCTGCTGTAGCTAGAAAACATTTCATCCTCTCCCCCTGCCCGAGGCAAAAGCCCCACTGAGACCAGCCCTGCCCTGTGACCTGCCTGCAGTCCTGGGGTGTCTTACATTCATGTCAAGGACACAATGGTAGAAGTGGACCACAGATAAAACAGCATGTTTGCTGCCGGCTTTGTTTGAAAATGTGGTCTCGTTCTATATCTATCAAACGTTGATTTGGAGCATTCAGGGTTGAGGTTGTGTTTTCCCAAACGTGTGATGAATGATTCATTGTTGTTGGTTGTTAGTTGTTGTGATGCCTGTGTGTTGTGTTTGTGGAACGTGATTTTGAATATATTTCTCTGATCACATTGTCGGTTTTATTTTATTTTTCATTAAAAAGTTCAGGACATTAAAGCAGTGTGGTGACATGCACCTGTTAATATTTGTTCTGTCTGTTTTTGTTGTGCTTGCATTTTATGTTGCTTTGCCGTATTCTCTGTTTATATTGAAATGCACTGTTTGTTTTCTCTATGACACTGTGTATACCTTTTTGTTGGCATGGTGTTTCATCCAAAACAATATTGTTTTCAACCGGATTTTCACCATGTGAAAAATAAAACATGATCAACTTGAAAGAAAACAGACGTTTTTGCAAAGGCAATAAAGATGGCTGGAGCACTGTTATGGGTCTGAACAGTGTGTCTTCAGTCATTTTAGTCTACTGAAATGTAGTACTGGGTATCACCAAGTAGTTTTATTATTAGTTGTAGTTTTTAGTATACAGTATAATGCTGTAAAAAGACAAGACACAATATGAGATGAAATGGTGAATCAAATCTTTGCAGCATATGAGTTCTTGAATCAAACTATATATTTTTCTTCCAAAATCTAATGAGTTTCTTGGCTTTAAAAGTATACTTTCTTATTTTAAAGTTGATGTGAAATGACCCAGTCCCTTTGCCTGCTTCGCTGTGTACTTTTCAACCCTCGTGATTGAATCCCTCTTGATGAGTCTGTCACACAGGGTCACTATACATATGCTGCAGTAATAACAGCTTTCAGATAAGTATGTACAAGGTATATTTAGCTATGACTGCCATCACTTGTAAAATATTAGGTGCAATGAAGCACTATCATTGATTTCATGTGCTTCAGTCAGATAATGATATGTTCCCAGTGCATAAATATGGAGCTTCAAGTGTTTCTCGTCTCTGCCTTCTTAGAGTTCGCTTTCCCTTGGAAATGTTCTCCCACTTGTGCAGATTAAAAAAATCAATGCAAGTATCTGAAAAGTCCAGGGAGTAGTTTAGCTTTGTTAAACATAAAGCATCCTTTGTGTTCTAAGAAGAAATCTATCATACTTAATGGTCAAATCTAATGTGGCCGGTCAGCCGTGGCCCATGAGGTAACATATTCCTCCTTAATGTATTCAAATGGGAAGGCAGCCACTGCTGCGGGTGCTATTCACATGGTTAATTGATGAATGTGGCCTATGAATTCTTGTTTATGGTATATTGCACCAGACAGGGTGGTACAGGCTTATTTTCTGTTAATTGTCTTACTGAAACAGAAAGATTATTCATTATTATGGGTTTCAATCAGTGATTGGTTTTATTAGATATTGGGCTTATTGTTGAAGTAAGAATTTGGGCTGGTCTAGCAAAGATGGCAGATATTTCCTTTAGCTTTATTAATTGCAGATTACATTGCCCCAACCATAGAAGATGCAATATCAAAGAATAACAAGATCAAAAACCGTGCAAGTGAGCTTCCTCTTGGCTTGACAACCCCCTTGTGAGGACTCCCTCTGGCACCCGTCGACTGAATTTACACATTATTCTCAAAAGTGCATCTGATCCAGATGGTTCCTCTCCAATCTCACAGCAGCAGGACATTGACATGCATCGCTGTCAAAGACCAAGAGACTGTGAATAACACTGAACGGGACACAGATTTACTGTAGCTCCACACATCACTCCAAATGTCTCTATACTTTCTCACACGGCTTCTGTCTTCATTAATCTTACAGATAGAGATTTCAATATGTGTGTGAATGTCTGTGTGCCTTTTGAATGTGTATAAAGTATCACATCATTTTTCATAGGGATGATAGCCCCATATCAACAAAAAAAACCTGAAAAGTGAGATTAGATCTCCACACCACCTCTTTTATAAAAAGAAGTCTAACTCAGTAGAATTCCTCAATATATAACCATGTAAAGATAGACATTTTGCGAGCACTATAAATATTCTAACTATCTTTTTGAAAGGTTTTCCTTGCCGCATGTAACAGTTGATGCCGTCTGCCTTCATTTTGATAGATCAAAGCGCCCGGGCCACTGCAATTCTCAATGGGACACAACACCGACCAATCTATGGTGCCTCACGGGACACAGTTACTTCTCTCTCTCTGTGTGTGTGTGTGTGTGTGTGTGTGTGTGTGTGTGTGTGTGTGTGTGTGTGTGTGTGTGTGTGTGTGTGTGTGTGTGTGTGTGTGTGTGTGTGTGTGTGGGGGGGGGTGTGTGTGTG